AAGTAATTTTGTTTATTATATATGATTAATGCATATATATATATATATATATATATATATTAAGAAATTGTCAACACAGTTTGGTTCCTTTTTAATAGATAAAATATACATTTTATAGCAATTACAGCAATAACGTGTATGAATTTTATTTAATTCATTATTATTAAAGTACTTTATATACTAGTAACTAAAAGACCTTCTACGTTTTTATCATTTGATATTTCTTTCTTTATTTCAGTATTTGCCGTTGATTCCAGCCAATACGTCTCCATATTTCCTTTCCCCTTTATATAATAAATGAAATATAATTCTCTCTATACAGATATACGTGATATATAATGTATGATTGATTAATATATTTTCATAATACAAACCTTTATTTTAACAATTCCACGTGATTCGGTATGATAACGTCCTTTTGGTAACAAAGCTTTGGTGCTAGAAGAAATATGCACCTTTCCCGGCTATGCCATACAATGTAATTAAATTAGTATGAAAATAAAAGAATTCAAAAAAGAAAATACAACAGATTTGTAAGATAATAAATTCTTTTTAAATTCAAACTGTCATGATTTACTGTCATAATTGTACGTAATTAATATACTTCTTGAATTATGGTTTTTTTGAAATTACATTATCATTTAGATTATTGTGCAATTTAGATATTCGGTGTTTATAAAAACTAATTGAATTATAGATTAACTTTTTTGATCATTACCTTTTGTCAAAACTAATCTAATATATGAATAAAAATTAGAAGCCACGAGACATTAGTGTTTTGACACGTGCACGATGTATAGCGCGAGATTGAATTGATTTTGAGATTTTTATCAATTTATATCAAATAAAATGTTTTTTTTAAATATGGATTGTATCTTATATTTGGATTTATAAGCATTTAATACTTATATTAAGAAAAGGTAACTGTACCAGACTAGAAGTCTGCATTCTGGAGGCCGTGTTAACAGTATCTCCAAAAAAACAATATCTCGGTACTTTGATGCCGACTACTCCGGCAACCGCTGCTCCAGAATGAATGCCTAAAAGGTTTCACAATACTATTATCTTAATTAATTAAATTAATTTCTTTATGTATTCATAGTATGTATTCTTATGTATTTCTCGCTATACGATGTAATAGTTAGTTTTTACGAAGATAAAATTATTTAAAATAGGAATTCGAGAAAACGAAGCCATATCCCAAAAGATACAAAAAATATATATTACGTCCGAGAAGTTAGACGGTTATGTGCAGGGTTGTTACCTATGCGGATTCGTATATCCAATCCGGAGGGTAATTTGAGAGATCGAACATGCTCGATGAGTTGCAGAGAAACGTCGGCAACGTTTTGTGCGTGGTTTTCATTTCTGTCCGGTGCACCACTAGCTGCCATATATACGCTACCAACAGTCTCTACCTGTTATGACATAATTGTAAATGGCAAATACGTAATCAACGTTATCATATAATAAGATAAAGTCAAAATAATCAGATAAAATCTTCGTGACCCGATATTGAGCAAGATAATATATTCTGAAAAAATTCTCAGAACTTTATGAGAAGAAAATAAATGATTTTTGTTTCTTGTAGTTTTTTTTGTAAAGTTGATAGTATTTGAATAAAAAATTATTCAATATTTGACAAATATTTTTAGTAATTAATATCTTGTTAACTATTTCAAAAATTGCAAAATAGTGAAGGACTTTTCGATTCAATTTAGTTCGCTCTATCTACACAAAAGCAATTGATCAAAATTTACGGGACACCCTGTATATTCTCTTGCTCAATTAGATTTATCTTGACTTGCTCGAAAACATCATTGATGTCCTGAGTCTTAAAATAAAAAAAAATAAAAAGAGTTAAACCGAGATTAAAATTAAATTAGTATAGAAACGCACAAAGTATCTTAATCACATAAAATTACATTACATGCGATATCATTATCTTGATCATACTTCACTGAAATATTTCTTTGTACTATTGAGTCAATCGAAGATAGTTTTTATCTAAGTTATTACATAAAAACGATTAACCAAAACTTACAAGACACCCTATATATGATTTTGGCCAAGATAACTTGTAATGAGTTACGAATTATATTACAGATTATATGCAGAATTTCAAAGTTGAGTGTCAGTGCTGTTACAAAGTTAAAAGTTAAGTTTAAAAGTTAAAAAATTAATTAATTTTAACTTCATTTAGTTTACTTCATTTTAGACTCTTAACTTTTCAACTTTATATATTAGATGTAGTAAAAAGAATATTAATTATATTAGGTGTAATAAAAAGAAATCCATTATTTTTGCATGAAATTGAATGGAAAAATAATGGATTTCTTTTTACTACACCTAATATTTTACCGATAACTATTAATTTTTAATTTGATTTTTTTAAAAGTTAACATCAGGATTGAATAGTTGGTGTTATATGGATTCCTACTTGGATTATATGCTTTATTCGTATCCGTAGGAGACGTTTTTCTAATTTTAAATAAATCCAAATTTTTCATTTACTTTTAAGCAAAGAATAAAGAAGTTTGAAAACGATAGGTCATTATGACCTAAATCATGATTTTCTTTAAAAATACGCAGAAACAATTTACTGCATTACAAGAATTATTTTTTGATGTCCCAGAATAATCACGCTGATTAAAATCTGTGAAATGCATATGTGAATCTTCCCTTGTTAGTTAAAAAGATTCTTAATTTTTTAACTTAGTTTTTAATTTAATTAAAAAAAATTAACTTGAAATCATGAAATAAAACAAATTTAACTTTTAACTTTTTAATTATTTTTTTTCATTAAATAACTTTTAATTTAATTAACGTCACTATGGATTAACTTTTATCTTAACTAAATTAAATTTTCAAAGCTGTTAACTTTAACTTAACTTTAGTTTTAAAAAAGTTAATTTATCCAACTCTGTAGAATTTAATATGTTTATATTTAATATAAACGTATTAAATTCTGTATTATTTCGTGCGAAATGATACTTCTAATAAAATGATTAATCTTACTTTGTATACATTAAACTGATCCATCAATGTATCGAAACAGGAGAAAACGGCATTCATTGATAAAACAATGTCCATCGCTCCTTCGATGGTTGAATAATCAAAATCGCATAATTCGCAGAAAAGAACTGTTATTGATTCAAATGACTGTAAGTAAAGCATTTTTATAAATAGTTATTAGGTAAGATCCAAAGGATCTTGAAGTGATTATTGTGAAGATTATTGTGAAGTGAAGATTGTTAAGTGTATTTGCATACCTCGCAAGTGCTCAATGAACTGGCTCCGGCTCGTAATCGGTCTGCTACCGTTTGTGGAATCATAGAATATAGAAGCTCATCGCTCTTGTTTTTCCATCGATCCAGTAAAACATAGCTGTTTTCTAGTTCCGTCGATCTTTGCTCTGCCCTCTCAAACATCATTTCTAACCTGCAAATAATATAAATTATATATCCGGCGTGTATAAAATCTTATGAGATGTATTCAATTTTAGATGAAATCGTTTTTTTTTTACTATTTAAGAATATAACCTTCCGCAATGCTGCCATCCTGCCAACACCAATTCTTTGCTCATACCATGAGGATTTAGGTCATTCAAATACAGACCCATATTAAGAAGTTCATCTAAACTGTTGATCCTGTTGTAATAAAATAATCTGTTACAAATCAATTATCTTATAAAAAATGTAATTTATGATAATAACTTACAAAGGACTACAGAGAAATATAATAGCTTTAATATCCTCGATATATCTCATTTGACCCTTCAATAAGATACTTCTCGCACCTTGACTCCCACGCCTATCTAAACCACTACTTGTGCTTGGCACATTATCTGAATCATTATCTATCATAAAATAATCATTTGCTCTAATTAGTTCCAATTCGAATATCACTGAATGCAAGTACATTACCTAGAAATGAAACATTTATGTGTATTTAAATGTTGTATTTATGCACATGTGTATGATCTATATTACAATTAGAATATTACCTTAATTTATAAAACTTACGTTGCAACTTTTAAAGT